AGTTTTATTTAACTTCTCTGAATCTGTTGACCGCTTTTTAAAATAGCTTTATTGAGGTATAATTCACATACCATGCACTTCACTCATTTAAAATGTACAGTTCAGTGGCTTTTAGTATATTCACCATCCTTTCATCACCACAGTCAATTTTAGAACATTGTCATTACCCTCAAAAGACAACCTATACCTAGTTTTCACTTCCCAGTCCCCCCATTACCTCTAGGCCTGGCCAACTGCTAATCTATCTATGTCACTATGAATTTGCCTGTTCTGGACATTTCATATAAATGGAATCATACAACAGGGAGTCCTTTGTGACTGGCTTCTTTCACTTAACATGTTTTCAAGGTTCATCAATGGTTAGCATGTATCAGCACTTCATTCCTTTTTATTACCAAATAATATTCCATTGTATGGATATACCAGATTTAATTTATCCATTCATCAGTTAATGGGCATTTCACTCTTTGGTTGTTATGAATAATGCTGCTGTGGAGATTCACGTACAAGTTTTTGCGTGGGCATCTTTCTCCTGCGTATATACCTAGGAATGAAATTGTTGGGTCACATGTTAACTCTATGCTTAACTATTTGAGGAATTGACAGACTGTTTTCCAAAGAGTTCACAGCATTTTATACTCTTAATTTTACAGTGTATTAGGATTCCAGTTTCTCTCTATCCTCACCAACACTTGTTTATAATCTGACTTTTTTATTGTAGCCATCCTAGTGGGTATGAAGTGGTATCTCATTGTGGTTTTGATTTGCGTTTCCCTGATGACTAATGATGTTGAACACCTTTTCATGTGCTTACTGGCCATTTGTATATCGTTTTTGGAAAAATATTCAGGTCTTTTGCCCATTTTTTAATTTAGTTATCTGTCTTTTTATTATTGAAGTATAATACTTCTCTGTATACTCTAGATACACGTCCTTTATCAGACACATGAGTTGCAAAAATTTCCTTCTATTCTGTGGGTTTCATTGCACTTTGTTGATGGTGTCCTTTGAAGCACAAATGTTTAAAATTTTTATATGCCTAGTTTATCAATGTTTTTTCTTTTATTGCTTGTGTTTTTGGTGTCATATGTAAGAAACCATTCCCTAATTCAAGGTCGTGAAGATTTTACTTCTATGTGTTCTAAGAGTTTCATAGTTTTAGCTCTTAAATCTAAGTCTTTGCTTCACTTTGAGTTAATTTTTATATAAGGTATAAGGTAGGGATCTAACCTCATTCTTTTGCATGTGAATATACAGTTGTCCTAGCACCATTTATTGAAAAGTTTATTCTTTCTTCATTTGATTATCTTAACACACTTGCTAAAAATCAATTGATCAAAAACATGAGGGTTTATTTTGAACTCTCTGTTCTATTCCATTGATCTATATGGCCATCCTTATATAAGTAACTCATACTACATGCAAGTACCACACTATCTTTTATTTTTCTTTTTTGAGGAAGATTAGCCTTGAGCTAACATCTTCTGCCATTCTTCCTTTTTTTTTTTTTTTGCTGAGGAAGATTGGCCCTGAGCTAACATCCATGCCCATCTTCCTCTACTTTATATGTAGGATGTCTGCCACCACATGGCTTGATAAGCGGTGCATAGGCCTGTGCCTGGGATCTGAACCGGTGAACTCCAAGCCGCCAAAGTGGAGCACACGAACTTAACCACAGTGCCACCAAGCCGGCCCCCACACTATCTTGATTACTATAGCTTTATAGTAAGTTTTGAAATCAGGAAATGTGAGTCTCTCAACTTTGTTCTTTTTTTTTCCCAAGATTATTTTGGCTGTTCTGAGTGCCTTGAATTTCTGTATGAATTTTAAGACCAGTTTGTCAATTTCTGCAAAAAAAGTCAGCTGAGATTTTGATGGAGATTGTGGTGAATCTCTGTTAATTAGGGCAATATTGACATCTTAATAATACTAAATCTTCCAATCCATGATCATGGGATATCTTTCCATATATTTAGTTCTTTAATTTCTTTCAACAATGTTTTGTAGTGTTCAGAGTATAAGTTTTGTACTTTGGTTAAATTTATTCTTGAGTATATTATTCTTTTTGTTGCTATCATAAATGGAATTATTTTCTTATTTTCAGTTTTGTTTTGCTCATCACTACTGTAAAGAAGTACAATTGATTTTTGTAGATTGATCTTGTATCCTGCAACTTTGTTGAACTCATCTATTAGTTCTACTAGTTTTTAGTGGGATTGTGTCATCTGAAAATAGAGATAGTTTTTCTTCTTCCTTTCTGATCTGGATCCCTTTTACTTCTTTTGTTTTTGGCCTAGTTGCCCTGGCTAGAACCTCCAGTACAATGTTGAATAAAAGTGGAATGTTTAGCCATTTTAAAATAAAGTCTTAGGTCCAGAAACATTTGCAAAGGTTAAGAGTTGGTAACGTTGTAAAGGCACACAGTCTATAAGCAGTGAATCTGAGATGCTGATAGATGTGTACACTCATAGTTTCTTTTTCTCCTGGTCAACGTTAGTCAAACACGGTCATTTTTGCTAAATAGTTGTCTTCTAACAAGTTGATTTTTGCAGTGAAAATTTAGATTAATTGGAGAAATCTATAAAATCCATCTTTCTCTCCAATTCAGTAAGCAATGTGCTTACAGACTCTGAGGACAGATAAAACATGGTCCTTACATGATAGATGAATGTAAACAGTCAGTGTCCCCACTTTTCTCATGCCTCTAGAGTGCCTCTACTTTTCTTAACCATTCAGAATAAAATAAAGGGACTGTGGTACTAGAAGAGACTATCCTCCCTCATTTTATAAATGAAGAAATAGTTCAATGGAAGTAAAATCCTGGCCAGGGTCACAAATGTCCTTCCCAAGAGGGATATAATAGGCCCTGAGTTACTGGTTAGTTGAGTGAGTTAGGCCTGAAGGGTCCTCCGAGAGGACCTTCAAAGCTTCCCTGGATTAGGGGTGAGAAGCACTGGGTTCCACAGCCTCAGTGGTCACCTGGCTCTAAACCACGTGCCGTTGAATTCTGCTTCTGCTGTCTCCAAGGGATGCGTGTGGCAGCTGCTGTGCATCCAGCTGTCAGATCTGACCTGATGGAGCCACAGGGCTCTTAGAATTCAAAGCAGTCATCTCCCAGCTAAACAGCTGGCTGTCTGGTCTGGATTTATCTGTTCTTGCCAGCTTTAGTTTGGGATGGTAATCTTGTGTAGAGTTGCAGTGTGGGGTTGGGGGCTTGGCAGGGCAAAGTAGTGTTTTAGTAGCCTGCCCTTTAAATCTTCTACCTAGAAGAAAATTCCTGGTAGTGAAGAAGAAACACTTATTGTGCTATGCTTTTTCATGTATGTTCTCTTTTAAGTGCATTCCTCCTACCCCAGACCCTTTGTATTGGTGATAGAGGAAGAATGTGTGTGTGTGTGTGTGTGTTTGTGTGTTTAATTTGACAGAGGGATTGGAGGCCCAGAGAAGTTACTTGCCTAAATAAAGTTCTCTAGTTAGTATATTGAGGGGGACTGGCAGAGGAGGAGATGGGCAGTGTACTTGGAAGAGACCCTGACTTGCAAGTTGGGATTCTTTCCATTGTTTCATAGCTGCTTGAGAACGTACAGTTTGTGCATATGGGTTCTTAGGTAGCTCTTCTGGGCCTAGAAATGAAATTCTAATAAAGAACTGCACCAGTGGTTGGGATCCAGTGCTGTAATTCTGTGACTTTTGGCTGGCACTCATAGTTATGACCATTAGTTAATTAAAATGACAAAGTGCATTGATAACTAACTGCTAACAACTTATTCTGCCATCATCACCTCCCAAGTGAAGATGAACCCCCTTGCACTCTCCTTGGAACTTTCTCCACCCAGGTCCTTACTTTCAATATAGAACAGAGGCATATGTTTAGAATTTAAAAGTCTATGTAATAAAGCTGTGTTTTTAAAGTAGATAATCTGAATAGTTTCAGTTGCCTTTCAATCTCTTTTCTCCTCCCTTCTCTTTGCCCATTTTGAACTCAGAGAAACTTGAAAGGCATTACATCATACGATAGTTACCGATACCTGGGTTTAAATTCAGGCTCTGCTATATACTATCTGTGTGATCTTGAGTTGTTTGCTTAACCCTCTCTGTGCCAGAACTTGTTACGTGGAAGAGTAATAGCTCATGTCCTCATAGGATTGTAGCGATGATTAAATAAGTTAATACATATAAAGTGCTCAGAAGAGTACCTGGTGTATAGAATATTCTTAGTACATGTTAGCTGTTTATTGTTAAAAGCAGTCCACAATAGTAAAAATATTATCACTACCACTGCTAGTACCACCCTTACTACAACTACAACTCTTCTGGTCAAAGTTGAACTACCTGTAATTTACCTTATTTAAAAAAGGATTGAATGAGGCTTGTGCATTACACATATGTTCCTCTCCTAGCAGTTGGGGTGTTAAGGGACCAGGAGAATGAGGCCTCTTTACAAGGCCTGTCTTATAATCCGTTCCTGATTCTCCTTGATTGTGCTCCCTAAGCATCAAGGGGTGTGTTCCTCCTCGACTGGATCCAGCCCAGGGCATTCCACACTCAGTGTTGGGAAACCGACCACATTCTGATCAATTGAACTAGATTCAGTGATTAATTTTAGCCAGCCTGGGGACAACATGTAAAAGGAAGAAGACAGAAAACTCTCCTGGTTCACTTTCAGAGTCTTCAAGATTGATTCCTGTGGAAAACACGTAACACAAATGTGGTCATGGAGAGAATAATTTTCATTCCTTTAAAATTTATATAGGAAACAGCTAGGAACAGGTTGCCCCAAAAGGTATTTACTAAGATTTGGTGTGATGTGAATTTCTGTCTTAGCTTTTTTTTTTTAACTTCTAGGGAGTTCTTGGCTTCCAGGAACTTTAGCTGGAATCTGTCACCATCTCTGCTGACATGCACTTACCATGGGACTAAGTAAATGTGCAGTTAAATGACTGAACAAAACTTCCTCCTTGCTTGTCTTTAAAGCCTTATTCCTTCCTCTCAATCTACAGGGATCTCAGACGAAGACATTATCAACATTACCCTTCCGACTGGAGTCCCCATTCTCCTGGAGCTGGATGAGAACCTGCGTGCTGTTGGGCCTCATCAGTTCCTAGGTGACCAAGAAGCTATCCAAGCAGCCATTAAGAAAGTGGAGGATCAAGGAAAAGTGAAACGAGCTGAAAAATAAAGTCTTTCCCAAGTGCTGGCTTGGAAAAGCTGCAAAAGGAGTAGCATGCAGTGTGTTCAGGATACTGCTCTCTCTCTCTCTCTTCATCTCTCTCTCTCTTTTTTCCTGTTTTTTTTCCAGAGCTAGGCTGTGGGGTAGAGTGTGTATAGGTAACTAGATAACTTATGTTGGCTCAGATAAAGGCTTTAGGATGCCCGAGTGTTTATGTCATAAGCCTTATGAGTTAGCTCTCCTGCTAGCCCTGTTTGAATTAGCCACTAATTCAAATTAGTAACCAGTGGGGCTTAGTCAGTGTCATCAGTTTCTGAGATGGGAGAGTAACAAGTGGAGGTAAATTTTAAGGTATATGTCACTCAATAAATTATTATCAAGTCATCATTGACAGGTACCACTTAATCTAATAAGTGGTTCACCTTTATATTTACTAAGACTTTCTGGGATAATAGTAAAGGATATTAGATAATACACTATACTTAAGTATTTATTACTAGTCTTTTCCTCTAGGAAAAGGGATACCTCGATAGTTAAGACCAGAGGCCCATTAAATGGGAAAGTCACAGATGGGTTCATCCAAGACAGCCAACAGCAGACAGCAGACCCTTTGCCTTGTCTCTAGTCCAGAGATATCCTTCGTTTGACATTTGGTGGAATTCCTCTTGGGCTGCTAGAATTAGCAGCATATAGACAATTATAGCTGTTGTTCTTTTTTGTTTCATTTTTGGTTTTTGAACTTTAATCTTTGGGTACTTAAAACTGGTTTAAAAATAAAATTCTGTGGTCGAAAATGATATGACCAAAGCATCTCCATATGACTGATAAGTACTAAGTAAGGGCCTCTGAAGTAGTCTTTAGCTCGTAACTTCCTGTAACACTGAAAGAGTTGCACTTCCTCCAACACATGGACACTCCTAATTCTCAATAAATTGAAGGTCGGGGTCAGGGGGAAAGTAGCGTATAGTGGGTGTAATTTTATTCCCATGAGCAGGGGAAATGGTATATTGGGGCTTGTCACGTACATTTGTTGTTCATCAGCTGAGGGCAGAAGATTATAGTATGTAGCATAATGTAGCTGGGGTAGGCCATGGACAGAGTTGATTGCTTAATGATACTATTTTCCACAGTATATCTTTAGATGCTGTAGGTATGTAAGTCATCATTTCTTTAGGCTATTTATTGCCTTATTTCAAAGCAAGTAACATATATTTCAGCAATAAAGTCATGTAAAAAATTTGCAGCTATAATAGCTGTTACAAATATTTACCATTTTTTAATGATTTTTCCATTGGTGGATTAGTTTATTTGTATCCGTTTTATAGTAAAACTGACATTAGAAGGAAACTAATTCTAAAAGCCTTGCTACAACTTGGCCTCCATTTAATCTTTAATTCAGGACTCTTAGAGCACTGGCTGATGAAAATGGCTGAAAAGAAGAGATGAAAGTGGTTTGCTCACAACTGGCCACATGTTTGGTGCATAAAGACATGAAATGTGGATGCTTTATGTTTCTGACCAATGTCTGGTTTCTCTTCTGTAGCCATTCTTTGTAGTCCCATTGCTTAACCAAATAATATTCTTTAGAATTCAGAGATCATTTTTAATTCATTTTTGTGCTTTTCTAAGTGACAAATCTCTTTTCAAGTTCAGCTTCCCTCTTTTCTGGAAAGCCTTTTGTAAGTCCTTCTTCCCTCAGAAACACACCACAATTGCTTCAACATCACAGATCCTAATCGTGTTTCCTGTTTCTGTCTTTTGCTTAATTGGATTTTGCAAGTTTTTGGCTCACCTATGTAGCACCATTCATTGTGTTAAATCATGCCTTGCCTCACGCCGGATCTGGCTGTGGCAGATGCCGTGTTACACTGTAGCCTGAGGGTTTTCACATTGGACTGTGAGAATGTAAACCACCGATCCCAAGGGGAATATGAAATGTCCAAAATATAAGACTATTTTATCATTCAATCTCCCTCTAATGACAAAGTTGTTTGGCAAAATTATCTGCAGAATTTAAGTCACTCTTTTTCCACGATTAGTAAAGTTTTGTTTATTGGAGGATAATCTAGATATCTAGTCTAGCCTTTAAGACACTGGGACCTTAAGTTGCCAAAAAATTGTAAGTTCCTTAGACAATTTTTAAAGATAAGCTAGAGTGTCCTCATCACTTGCTGTGTACCAATAATAAAGCCACATCTTATTTGCGTTTTATTTAGGTTGGGGCTGGCCATTTAAGCTTACACTTAACTCTGATTTGACGGGAATATATTTTAAGAAATCATTTTATTATAAAAAACTTTAAACATGCACAAAAGCATAGTGTATAAATAGCACAGAGAACTCTCATAGTCCCATCACCCATCTGCCACCTCATTAACTTATGGCCACTGTCACAGTTACTACCTCTCTCTCTTCCTCCTGTCTCACTGGATTATTTTGAAACAAATGACAAACATCAAACAGGATAGATTTTGAAAAGGAAAACAGCTTAAATAGTTTCCAGTCAGTTAAAATGGAAGCTGTCAGTAATCGGTTCTGAATTTTGTCCTTTCTGGTGCTCTAGAGAAACCACTGGGCAGCCGTTGCTCATTCGAGTCCTGACTTGTATATAGTCTATTATTTTTGGTTGCTGATAATGAGGCCTGTTAGCCTGTTATGTGTGACCTCTGCAGGATGATATGGGATGTTTTGGTGACTCTGATGTTAAATTCAAGTTTTTAAAGATCAAGATTTTCCTGAGATATTTAATAATTCTGAAATGGTTTTGGAGGATTAAAAAATGAGCAAGTTTATTGGTGGTGGTTAAATTAGGTCACTCACTGTGGGGAAAGGGAGATACAAAATGGAGGAAGATGAAGAACACTGTTACTGGTTTTGAACTGGAGATATTTGTATGATACTCTAGAGAAACCAAATGGCAGCCATTGCCAAACTTCCAATTCAAATCTTGACTTATAGATAGTATGTGTTACCCCTGGTTCCTGTCTAGAGGCATTAGTCTGTTATGTGTGACTTTTGCAGGACAATGACTAATAACTCTGTGCTATTGCTTTTGAACGGGAGATATTTGTATGAACGTGTGTATGTGTATTTTCCTCTCTCTCTCTCCCCGCCCTCACCCCTGTCCCCAGCTCTGTCCTCTCAAAGGGCCTAGAAGCAACAACTTAGTAAAAATGAGCACACCTAGTTCCCTTGATCTTGGTTTCTAAATACTATTCCATATAACCAAGGATGTTTGGGGAAATGTTTGATTCCAGGTTTGGGGCAGATAAAGTATAAAATAAGCTTGGAATAGCCTGAGTCAGAAAAGAAGAAAATACCCAAGACTGATGGGATACAAAAATTGGCTTGAAGTGCTAAATTTGGGACAATTTAAGATTAAATAAAAGAATGATGGTAATAGATAACAGAACATTGATCTCAGGTTGTGGGAATAAAATATCACGGACTGGGGGGCTTAAACAATAATTTCTGGGAGTTCTGGAGGCTGGAAAGTGTAAGATCAGGGTGCTGGCAGATTTGGCCCAGGGTAAGGACCCTCTTCCTGGTTTTGAGATAGACGCCTTCTTGCTGTATCCTCACATGATGGAGAGATGAGCGGTGTTCTTATAAGGGCACTAATAGTCTCATCTGGGGAAGCCACACTCCTGACCTCATATAAATCTACCTCCCAAAGGCTCCACCTCCAGATGCGATGACACTGGGGGTTAGGGCTCCAACATTTGAACGTTAATTGGATATTTTAATTAAAAGTTATAAAGAACATTTTGGGGGCTGAAGAATTTAAGAGTGAAGTGTCACGATATCTGCCACTCGCATTCAAATGGTTTAGCCAACACTAACCTCCCTTGAGTGATTTTTTTTTTGTATGTTAGCATCAACTCTCTATTTCTGTTTTCTTAAGTTTTCAGAAGCTTAAATATGGAGCCCTTTAAAAAAAAGGAAAAAAGAATTTTTCTGGTTAGTCAACCTCTTTTTAAGAAGTGCTCCATCCTCCACTTCCTCCTACGTATTTAGAGACAGAAAAAAAGCAAGTATAGTAAATGTTACAGTTGATGAATTGAGAAAAGGGTTTATAATGTCCTATTGCACTATTCTTTCCGCTTCTCTGTAGGTTTGAAATTTTTCAAAGTAAAACCAGGAAAAATAAAGTGACAAGAACAAAACTGACAAACAACTAAAACAACCTTGTTTTAAGTAAAGTCACTAGAACGTGTTTCACCATATGCAATGACTGGATAAGCGTGCCTGGTTTCTATGTTTTTGTTCTTGAAATCTCAGTCCTTGTTAGGTAAGGGAAAAACTTCTTAATTCTGTATTGTCAAGAAACAAATTATGCATTCATTTTATCTCTATTATGTTTGGGGCTACAGTTATGCATCAGACCAACAATTAGCTTGTCTGCTGATACAACAAATCAGAAACAGGATTATGATTGCCATCGCCTTGTAGTTGAACAAATAGTAACGGAATGTCTTTCTCCTGCTGCAAAACCTTCTATCTCCTTAGTGCCCTACAGTGGTATCCCTTCATGCCACCATTTGGCTCCTAAACTTAAATCTCTGGGCTTCTGTTGCCTTGAATTTTACCTCCCTGCAGCAGCCACCTCACAAGTGTCACTTGTGTCACTGAGTTCAGTGTTATAGCCCGGCTTGAATCCATGTGATTCCAAAGCAGTCAGGGTTTCTACTGCTCCTCCTTGCATCCCTTCTAAGACTGCTAAGGGTCCATGGCCCGTAATGACTTCTTCTTATTGCCCCAAACAGAAGTCAAATGGATTCTATTATTAAAGATTTGCATTTTATGTTGTGGTTGGCTACTGAAGCCTGAAGTCTATTCTCACTTTAAAAACAAGGTGAATGGGGCCAGGCCCAGTGGCGTAGTGGTTAAGTTCAGGGTGCTCTGCTTCAGCAGCTTGGGTTGAGTTCCCGGGCACAGATCTACACTGCTCTGTTAGCAGCCATGCTTTGCTGGTGGCCTACATACTAAAAAATAGGGAAGATTGGCATGAATGTTAGCTCAGGGTGACTTTCTCAGCAAAAACAATAAGGTTGATGAAAAAGATCCTATTTTCATGAAGGAAGCTCTACCTTTTCAAGACAGCTTCATGCTCAACCTGTTAATTCTCTGCAAAGCCAAGTTTTTAAAAACTTCACCGTAACCCAGAATGTGACATAAGCATGTCTCCAAATAGCCAGCTGTCTGTAGAAAATAGATGCTATCTGATAGCAGCTGCAGCAATTGTGGGCCAAGATGTTAAATGGTCAGTTTCTCACAATGACGCTACTCCAGCTAAAGGAATTTTTTTTGCTGCAGAGAGTTGCCTGAAGAATTTCTCATGAATTCGCCCCTGACACACAGCTATTGAAAAGGGAATTTCCAGGGGCCAGCCCTTTGGCCTGGTTGTTAAGTATGGCATGCTCCACTTTGGCAGCCCAGTTTCGGTTCCTGGGTAGGGACCTACACCACTCATCGGTGGGCATGCTGTGGCGGCAACCCACATACAAAATAGAGGAAGATTGGCACAGATGTTAGCTCAGGGAAAATCTTTAGCAGAAAAAGAAAAAGAAAAAAGAACATCTGCCCACCACTTGAGAGGAAACTTCATTTGATGTAATGTTGACCTGGACGGGGAATCAGACAGAGCTAGAGTTTGTATTAGTCAAATTAATTGCATGAAATTCACCCTTTTAGTGAGAAGACTCTTTGGAGTAGTTTAACCTGGACTTTGGAGCAGAGGGGACAAAGGCCATCACATAGTTATGCACCCATGATTGAGGCCACTGAATCCATTCTGACACTTGTTCTATAGAACATTCGTTACTGTTCTCCAGGCAACCAGTAACCATAGGTTAGCTGGTCAGTATTTTTATTTCTGAAGCACTCCAGGATTCTGAATTGGATTGCAGGGGACGTTATTTATAGCTGGAATTCCAGGTTCTCTCTCAGGAGTCGGTATTTTATTTTTTAATCTTTATTTAATCTCTATTCCTGCACCTAGACACTGGGGGTCAGTATTTATTCATAAATACCTCTGGATTTGACTGCAAACCTAGCTCTAGCTATTTACAAAAGGTCGTGTCTGAAGAGGTCTGGAATTGATTGTGGGATTTCTTTCTCTGATTATGTAACCATAGAGCTCAGCCTATGTAAACATGAAATGTAAATATAAACATGGAGGATCCCCGTGGGATTGTAACCTGAGAGAGAGGCAGACAGTTTTCAATCTAAAATGTA